TTCAAACCCAACCCAGTAACGGCAAGTCAAGCGACGGTCGACTACCGCTCGGCGGCTATTGCTTTAAGACGGCTTCCCTAAATTCTCGTCAAATTTGTCTCAAACTTCATCAGTAATTTCCCTACGATCCGTAGAAAATAAATTTATTATTTTTCATGGAAATTCGGGGGAATACGTAACACTGCCGCCGTTGAAGCATGCAAAATTTGCCTAAGACATGACATTCAAAGAATCACCATCCTCACGGACTCCAAATATCTGACCAGCTGCATGACTCAACACCTGCCGAAATGGAAATCTAACGGATGGCTAACCTCCAAGGGTAAACCAGTAGTAAACCAGCAACTGCTACAACAGCTAGACCAACTAATGCAGCAGCTAGATGTCCAACTGACCTACATACCAGGACACAAGGAAATACATGGCAACGAACGAGCGGATGAGCTAGCGAAGTTGGGATCTGAGCTCCATCTGTAACCAGCTAACAAAGCACTAAGCTCAAGGCCATATTGAACCACAGCTATTCACTCAACCCCATTTAAAATTTAAGAGTATGTAATCCTACAAAATTCCATTCCCCTTTCTCCAACAGGAACACAACATCACCATGAAATATTCCAGTACCATCCTATGGATAATACTGCAATGGACCACAAGGACGCAAAAAACGGAAGGCGCTGGGGTATACCAACTACATCCAATCCCTCATAATCCAGGCCTGTACTATGAAAAAATTGACCAATTCCGCATGATCAATAATAACTGGCGCCTCTTAATTACCATCGATCTAGCAAGTCTAACAGGACTGTCCCTACCAGGAACACAGTTAGTTGACGGACTCCTGCAGGAATGCCGGCAATTAAGACCTGAGACAGAATGCCACAAGGCATTAGGGATCGCCATCATGAATGATTACAACAGGGAACTCAGACACGCGCAGGGACAGCTTGCAAAAATCCTGGAGGCACCACAAGAACACATCCATGATCGGTCAAGAAGATCCCCCCTCCTAGGATTCATCGGTTCAATAAGCAGAAAGCTATTCGGCACCATGGACTACAATGACCATGAACATATCACAAAAGAAATTGACTATATATACAATGACCAGAGGAAGATCACACATCTCATTGGAAACGCAACCCATATAATCCAGGCGGAGATCGACACTATGAAGATGAATCATGAGAATAACATCCTAAGGATACGGAGAACGAAAGAGGAAATGAGAAAAATAATAACTCAATCCAACAGATTCCTGCAACAGTTGAACAACACCGAACATCTCGAACATCTCATGAATATCGCCAAGGAAGCAGAATATGGAGCTCGAACATACGTTGAAACCGCTGCTAAAACTGTGGCAGCCATAGAAGATGCCAGACACGGTATCCTGAACCCTCTCCTCATCAACACCAATCAACTAACGAGGGTAACAGAAGAGATCGAGAGGTCAACACCTGATACAATTTTCCCAATAGCAAGGGAGAAAATCGATCTGGCATTGCTGAGCCAAATCAGTGATGTACAAACGGCATACCACGACAAAAAATTTCTAATCATAATCGAGATACCACTCATCTCCAGGAACCAAATGGAACTGTATAAAGATAGTCCCCTGCAAGGTCCCACAGAAAATCCAAGGAAACCGGAGCGTTCCCGCCTCCATTGAATCAACTAACAAATACATCGCACTCTCGCAACATGGCACCTATTACACCCACTTCGACGAGGATTACCTAAAAACCTGCATTCCACTGGAACAATGCCTAGCCTGTCAAAAGGGAATACCACTGAGGAAAGCCGGCAGCCGCAACAGCTGCGAATACCGCTTACTCACCAACACTGATGTGGAACTGACGCCGAAAATCTACCAGGATTGCAACGTGAAGATCACAAATAATCTAGAAACCCAGTGGACACGACTCGCTAGCAGCAAGGGATGGTTATACTCAACCATCGAGCCAGAAAGACTCGAAATTACCTGCCATAACCAACCCGCAGATAGCGTGATATTAAACGGATCAGGGATGCTTCATCTCAACCCGAACTGCACAGCAGAGACTTCTACGACTATCCTTGAGGGCGCAGGACTGGTGGAATACCAACTTCCAGTGATCCTTGGAATATCTAAAACAATCAACATCTCAGAAATAGCACCAATCCTAAGCGGCCTGCCTAAACCTCTGAACCCTATGTCAACTTTGAAACAGTACGTCTTATCCGACATGACCAAGGATCACCTATTTGACGACTCTCTGCAACAAACCATTGATGAAGCAGAAAAAATCGGCCTACACCATCAAGAGACTTATTACCATAGAATCTTCACAGCAACCAACGGGACCATCACCCGGGTGCTTAACCTCGTAATGGCCGCTGTAGGGTACGGCGCCTACAAAAAAGGATCCGAAGAAGGAAGTCGAAGACCCAAAAGAGCAAAACAGCAACCCGTAAGAGCAGTTGCCCGACGAACCCACCCCCGAGGGCTCCAGGAAGAACCAATCCATACCATCTCTATGCCAGAATTAACCCTGTCAACAACACAAAGATTACTAGCACTACCAGCATCAGAAGACAAACAGAGCTCCCCCAATAACGCTAACCACACTCCATCCTTCGTTACGGTGGACTACACGTAGCTAATACACCTTCAAAAAGTGGCAAGACAAAGATATCAGGGCAAATTTAATTGAAGTAAAACTAAGTTAAGAATAATATGGGTTTTATTACCGGATAGATATTCCTCAAATACATATGCAACCCATGTCGAATAAATTTAACAACTCAAGCGGCAGGGGCCGCTGCTTCCATAAACACGGCAACATCCTCTAATTCAACTGGAACCTGGTCCTCAAACCTGGATGGGCAGGCAGCCAACAACAGCTCCAGGGCTCCATCCGCAATTACCTCCTGATGATGAGACCAGCAGAAAATATCAGAGTAGGAAATATACTCTAGACTAAGGTATCGCAAAAACTGACGATACCACTCCAGGGACATGTCCCACCACTGATCAATCTAAAACAAAAGGGAAGAAAAATATTTGAAAAAAAAAACAGCTCACCGTTGGATAATGGGGACCCCAAGATGAGGCCAAAAAAGAAAGGAGCACCCTCGGTGGAACAGCCGCCCTGCGCGAGGTGCCCTCCAGTAGCTCAGTGCCCTCAAAAATGAGAGCCATGTCTTCCACTCGACTGCTCCAACACAAGAACCAATCCCTTGAAAAAAAAAAAGATACCTGAAAATAATTATGATACAAGTTAGAGATAGTTTAAATATTAATAAAATAAATATTTGCATACTTACCCTTATAATGACGAAACCTGCATACTGGAACAACCCAGACACACCTATGAAAAGAGAGAGACGATTATGTAAATAAATCAAATGAAAATAATACATTAATTATAAAATAAGAAGGTAAACACTACTTACCATGGGCAACATAACCCCAGCTGTCAAACCACCGGTGACAGTTCCACCACAGCTCATAAAGGCTATAGACTTCTATCTCACATTCAGAGGCGAACAACCGCCGCTCTACTGTTCAAGCAGCAACTACAACACCACCGCATCTGTAACTAATATATAATTCAATTATAAAATTCGCTATTATCGCTACTACTAAAATGCAATTAAAACATAATTAAATGATAAAAATTCACAAGTATCAATGATACTACGCTTTAAATAAAATATGATTATAATGCAATCCCAATTTCATGAGAAAAATCAAAAGCGAATTCAATCGAATGTGGAATGTCAATAAAAATGCAAAATAGTAATTAAAATTATCAAATGCCTTATAATAATAAGAGGACATGGAAGGCAACCAGCTAAAGGAATAAAAGAAGTAAATAATTATGTCCACAGAGTCTAACCAAAAATTATCATCTTGGTGTCGCGGGTCACTAAGTTTGATACAATCATTATAACAAATACAAATAAACAAATAAATACGGGACCAGTAAGGAGCCCACGAAATACAAATAATTCGGGACCTAGAAGGAGCCCACAGATACAAGAAAACCTAATGATTATAAACGAACTGACCTGTGATATTAAGACAGGGTAAAAACCGCGATAACGAGGGACGATCTCCTGAAAACATACGTTAAAAACTGTCAAATTCCAATTCTTTGCCACCAAATATAATTCAAATAATAAATATGAAAATAATTCAATTTCCTTCAGGCACATGCAAAACCTGACAACGATTCAAATACAATTCAATTAATGAATATGATAATAATTCAATTTCATTCAGGCACGTGTAAGACCTGACACAGATATATTTTATTCAGACACGTGTAAGACCTGACACAGATTCAAATATAATGCAAATAATTCAATGATAATAAATAAATTTTCCTCAGGCGTAAATAAGACCTGACACAGAAACACAATTAATTACATAAATAATAATTGAATTTTATTCAGGCATGTCTAAGGCCTGAAACAGAGAAAATGAAAAAAAATAAGAAGAATACGATGGAAGCGACTTTGATATTTCGGACTCAGAAAAAGAATAAAAGAATGGATAAGATGAGATATTACGTAGGGGAGGCGTAACAGAATTTGTCACCTTGGCACGGCTAGTTAATTCGAACTAATAACTATTTACTTACTCTTACAAAATACAAATACAAACCGGGACGAGCGTAGCCCGAAAAAAACAATTTATTAATTAGCCTAATTAAATTGCAATGGCAGGGCAGGGTTGAACCGCGGCAACGAGGAAAGTATCCCCGAAATTTTATCAAAGCTTTGAAGTTCCAGAGTTCTATGGAAGAGAAAGAACTATCAGAATCTCCAATATCATAATCAGCTTATGCATTACGAAATAAAAATTGTTAAACAGAGAACATAATCATTCCAAAAATGTGAAGCTAAAATACGAAAAATCAATAATAATTCATCCATTCAACAAAACATAATCAAGATATACATTGAAAAATTCATAAACACTAAAAATGCATCGATTTTATCGATCGACATTTCAAAAGAGAGAGAATAACGCGCATGATTCAATAATAATGTCATTCAAATTCCACAATTGTCAACATTGTTAATAATAACAGTAATGTAAAGTACTCAAAAGCGAATATATAATAATGTATAGTTCCTAATGCATTGAACAAAGATAACTATAGGTAATCTCTCTCACACTTGTACACTGCGCTCGGAGCAGAATGAAGAGGTGGAACTATCGCCTCCCACTTAGGACACCAGAATCCTATTGGTACCCCTACTATGTTGCGCGGACGGGCCTGCGCAGCGAAACGCAAAAATCATTTTGCAAAAATTGTAAAACGAAAAGATCACAGTGAACGACCAGCAGTCAGACAGTAAACAGTTAGCTGCTACCAGTCAGACAGTAAACAGTAGAAGCAGTGAACCGGTCGAGACGCGAGACTCAGTGAAATTTCAAATCTATTTCGTCAACCGGTAATAAGCTTCAATAAGCTTTAAATAAGCCCATTTAAATCATGGGGCCCCTTCAGGGCACCCATTTAATTTCCCAATTGCAAAACCAAATTAATTAATTAATCCAACATCGAACGAATTTCCGCAGCGCACTAAAGATTTGACTGGAAGCTTCTTGATCTTTTCGTTCCACTCCAATTAAAATGTCAACTCAATTGATTTATAAACAAATTAAAATTCAGTGAAATAAATTTAGTGAAATAAAACTGGTGCATTCAATTCAGTGAATAATTGAACCTGAACCTTACCGGACTGTCGATTCTTAAAATTCTTGCCATAATTTATTTGCGGCTTATGGCTGGGGATATGTCTCTCAAGTCTCGCGGAATCCGTAGACAGATATTATACTAGTCGAGCTAATGGTGATTTGTTTGGCCGCTTTTCCCGCACAGGGGGTAGCTTGGACAAGTCCATCCATTGATTCTCATGTCAAACAGTTCAATTAACAGACCCCAAAGTAATGAAGCTTCAAATTAATTTCAACACTTTTCCTCAACCAAAACCTTTTGGATCCGGTTATAAACGTTCTAATAATTTTGCCGAGGTTACAAGTGGACCCCTAGTGGCCTCGAAAAGGGCTATTACCGCTTGGAAACCCCACGAGAATTATTAAAACGCTTCACAGATCCTTCGATTTTGCTCCAGTCTATTCTTTGCTGCGTCCGACGCGTGAAAATCTTAAAAAAAAAAAAGGGAAGACAAAACCACCTCGCTCATCCAAGGGAAAATTTAACCACCTATTCGAAAATTTCTTATAAATTCATTGATCCCACAGAAGTGAAAAATAGTTGGAAGAGTTGAAACTTTAAATATCTGGAACAATTTTGGGCACATCCATTGACATCGAAATCTGGAATCTCGGACTGACTCGTGGACTTCCAGCCAGTCGAGAGGAGGCGATAACGCAGGAGAAGAAAATTTGGCGAATTTGTAAAACCAAGTGAGAAAGCGGAGTAAAAAATAGCATCAGGGGGCCTCCTGATTCCCAGAACCCGCACCCTTCCACACCTCTCGCATTTGTAGCGGACGTCCAGCCCGAACTCCCTCAACCGCCTCCAGTCCACGGCGCTGTCGTCCTCAATATCGCACTGGAGGGCCACGTTCAACCTCCTCATCTCCGCCCTCCAGTTCGGCTCACAGGGCCCACAACAAGTCCCACATACTCAACAAGTCCCATGGGCACACCACAATCCACTCTAAACAAATTCGCTCTAGGCTGACGGCCAAACATCCTCTTCCACTCCCGTTTGGAGCCACGCACCTGGAGCAAAACAATAAACAAAAATTAAATAAAACCACTCACTAAAACTAACAACTAATTATCCAAAAACTTTTTAATTATACTTACCATGTCACGAAAACTACATAACACACACAAATATCACAAAAAACAATTCACCACCTGTCGCTCCACCAAGACCGGAAATAAGATGGGTGACAGATTAACACCTCACCCTAGACAATTGACCTAATGACCAAGTGGCTCTACCGGCCACATTAACATACTAATTAGGCCACACGACCCAATTACCGACACGGTCGACAATGCTAATTAGGTCACACCCCTAATTACCGACACGGTTGATCGTGCTAATTAGGTCACAAACCTAATTACCGACACCCGCAAATTTAAGATTAACGCGCGAACCGGAACCGTTTAAAAAATAATAAATTCTTCCGACAAAATCCCATCCAAAATAGAAGAGATTTTTTCCGCGGGGGCTGTAATGTCCAGATTATTTAAACAATTCAATTTATATTAAACTACCCAAGGTCAATGAACCACCGCCACGGAAGTTGGGCAATACACAAAAACCGCCAATGACCTCAGGGGAATGTGCAACGCCGCATTCCACAGAGGCCATTCCAACGAAAATTTAGCAAATTACAAGTTTTCCCTAGCAAGCAGAGCCAGGTCATCAAACTCGAAATCAAAGAGGTGGCAATCACACCACCTCTCCCACTCCAATGAATTTCCCAATGCTCGTAAAAATAAATAGAGCAGTCTCCCGAAAAACACCAGTCTGAAAAATCCCGCTCCCGAAAGAGCTACAACTTCCTGGCGGAATAATTATTGGAATCGGTCCGACTTTTATTTAATATTTCGGAGTTAATCTTAAATTAAATTTTCGGAGTGTTCCCAAATAATAGTAGGGAACATAAATTAACGATTGTTCGGGGATACAGAATCCTTAAACAGAGAGTAAATAACCTCTTGCAGATTAAGGGAACAAGTAGTGACTGTCGATGGTGGGTGTGAATCAAAATTAACTATTAAGTGACTATGAAAAACTATTGAGAGCCTGGACTCAAATTAATAAATAAAAATTCACCAAAGCAACTAAGTGAAAGACAAGTATTCCACCTAAGTATCTGTGATAGTGTACTGATTGTCATCTGGCAGAGAAACGTGGTGGAATCACCCCAAGAATTCACATTTTAAGAAATAAGAAACGATCGCAGTGAGTAACCATCAAATTGTAAAATCCCCAAGAGAACCTTCAAAGATTGCAAGGGATTCCTTAAAGTTCCAATTATTTTCACCAATAAATGTAAATCAATCTAAGCGCACCAATAAAACGCAAGGTTGTACGATCCAAAATCTCTTATTTTTTTCATCCATTCATTCAACCAGTTTATTTTGAAAATCACCAACGGTAAGAACAAAAGAAAATCCAGCGTCGTCCAAGAATATTAATTAAGGAATTCCAGCTTATGATCGAAAAATCAATGTCCTTCGACGCGAAAATTCTCCGAACATAACAATAGTCATGAGGGTATTCGCGCGTTCTGGGGTGAGATTATCTGTCGAAACTCAGTTTATAACAACTGACGAGGCATGGGGCCGCGAAAAGACACACCAGTTGGCCTTTCGATTACGATAACTGAGCCTTTCAATTGTAGAATCAGGTAGCTCCGCCAGGAACTCTTTTTCTATTTCATCTAGATCAGTCTGTGTTTCATCTTCCTGCATGCTTTTAAGCCAGTTACATTGCCCCATTTTAACTATTGGGGTAGGAAGGATCAAATCCTGATCACTTCGATTAATGGCTCGGATTGAAGTTATTCCGTCAATATTCAGTTCTGGGCTTCCTAATATTGAAACCTTGTCCGAAATGTAAATATCGGGGACAAGACCCACGGATGGGGAGTCCCTTGTTAGTCTGACCGTAAATGCACAGGACGAATTTTTGGGGATCGATTGGCAATCGTCATAGGTGATTTCCATTACCACATTTTGAAATGAAAAGGTCAGAAACTCGTAGGATAGTGTTGCTCGAAATTCGTGGAAGAATTGCGCACCGATTATATCCGCTTGAACAATTGGGAAGTCATTGTTAACAACGTGGAATTTCACTGCATGCTCGTGAATATTAATAACTGCGGCACCGAGAGTTCTGATGAAATTGTCCGTAATACCATGGAGTTCAATAATTTCCTTATTAATAATTGATAATTTTCCTTAAGGGGGGGGGGGGGGGGGGGGGGGGGAAGGTTTGACAAGTTTTTTTTTTAATTTTTTAAAAATTTTTTTTCTGAACCATCAACATTTCAAGAATATTGTGTTAAAATTTTGGGTCATTCGGAGAAAAAGTAACGAAGTTACAGCAGGTTGAATAACGGTACCTTTAACTTAGGGAGCTGCTTCAGTCTCTATTGTATTGATATTGTCCCCTCTTTTGGTCTTAATATCTTCAGGTAACTAAAATATGTACGGTATATTGTATCCTGCAATGTAGAATATATATTTCAGTCTAAACTTGAACGCTTAGGAGAGCACATATCTGCGTCATTTCACTCTTGTCCCGATTTCGTAGCATTTTCTTAGCGATTTTGTATTTAACATCGAAAAAATGCCGAAAATAACTGGCAGAGAAGGACGTAAACAGAGCGGCCGAAGAATAAGCCGTCCAAGAAAAAGATTGAGGCCGCAGGCGCGCTCGACCGACTCTTCTCGGATCAGCAAAGCGGACGAGCGAGCTGCTCGCGAGACCAAAGAAGGCAGAGTTTTACGCAGACAGGAGCAAAAAGATGCTTTAGATAACCTGGATGATAGCAATGTACTGTATGGACCTGGCATCGATGATGACATGTACGTATTTTATTTAAAAATCCAGGTTTTTTCAAGATATCTTCATTTTTTCAGTGTACAAAACTTTGAATCGATTTTCCCAAATATGTCATTTTTAAAGTCGGTGACCAGCCTACAGTAAAACTACTGCATCGATCGTTTTGAAATTTTGTACAAATATTCTACATATATATAGCTTTCGAATGACGTCGAGTTTTTTCTAAAATTTTAATTATTAACAATTTTACAATAACAAATAGGTCGATTTTTTCGTCTAAAATCGTCATTTTGGCTTGAAAACGGTACAAAAAATTCAAAAAATGAAAAATTGAAAAATTAAAAAAAAACTCGACTTCAATTGAAAGGTAAACTAATAAACTAAAGAAAGGATTTTGATTCTTTGGTTTCAGATAATCCAGTGATGCTGTAGGCTGGTCAGCGCACAAAAACTTCTTTTCGAGGTGCCTGCAGAGATCGACGATAAATCCTTTATTCCTCCCTATTTTTCGATAAAACGTTTTTTTGTTCGGGTGCGTCCGGTAAATTTTTGACGAACGAGGGCGAGAAACATTGGTACGGTCGATTGGTTCAACATTGAACAAGCTCGGTTGCAAGATCTCATAAATTGAGTGACGCTAATATTATACCCATCGAACGTCGGGATGTAAGCGAGTGCATCTTTTACTGTGATTCGTGAGATATTTCACAGGTTTTCACCGCTACGGATGTTTCTGGATTTTCTTTGGTTCGTTTCAAATTCTCAATTTGCTTAGCGAGCAGTGATATTTGTTCAAACACAACCTGTCCAGCGGGTGACGTCTGATCAAAAACGTTGGGACGATAGAATTCGCTTTCAGACGGAGCCTGACTGGTCTGCGTTTGGCCCTCTCTCAATTCCTTCATTGTATTTCGTAATTCATGAATTATTTCGGATTGTTCTTCAATAAGTTTAAGTTTTTCGGATAATTGACGGCTAAGCTCGCTGGCTTCTTCCATTGCATCTGCTCCCTCCTGGTCTGAGATATCGGTGTCAGGCATTTTGAATCGCGAATATCAACAAAATTTATCAAACATAAAATTTCTTAGGAAAAGTAAAATGAAGCTCAAGTAAGTACTAGAAGTGATTTTCGACTACTTTTCCGGAAAAAATGGAGCAATAAATTCTTCATTCAGTAAAAATGGAATGTTGATGATTTAGGTTTTAGATCAATGTAGTGGAAATTGAATTTTGATTGAATGCTGTCATTTTGATTGAAAATTTCAATATTCATTCTATTGCAAAAAAAAAAATAATTCTGAGACACGTAAAAGCTTAAATCCGACGTAGTGTGACCGTTCTGATATTGAAATAAAGGATAAAATTACCGAGTCAAAAGTGGGAAAAATTTGGGCGGAAATAGTGAAAACAACCCCACACTTAGCACCATTTTTGTTACGAATTCTCACTAGATCGAACCATAAAAGAAATTAGAATTTGATTTTCCGACGGATGGAATGTTTCTTTTTTTGATTCATTAAAGTGCACTATCATGTTGCGAATTTTTAATTTTTAGGGAAGCCTAAGGTAAGCGACATTCGTCGAGCGGTAGCCGAAAATCACTAAGCTTGCCGAAACTAAGTTTACACAATTCGCACGCGCTCTATTGCATTTTCCGAGCTTTTCGCGAGAACCGAACAATTAGTTTCAAAAGAACTCTAAATTTTGGAGTATCAACCGACCTCCGGGATAGAGAAAATAATGGTTGTAATCACTAGACTCACCTTTAAATTTTTCCTGGCCGTTTTGGTGGCGACTCGACTATGGAACGGCGAATCAGTTGTTGCTCTAGGATGATGGGCGATGTAGATCGTCGAAAACTTCAGCCTTTTCTCTGACAGGCCGGAGAAAGTTTCCTTGGACACACACTCACGTTTAGTTTCTTCTGTCTTTTATTGTATTAGATCTCAGATTCAAACTCAGTCACTTGGAGTTGCTAAATAATGTATTCTAATATGAATAAGTTGCTCACGAGAATTTATTTAGTTATTCATTTATCCATTTATTTAGAATTTAGACCTAGAATGCATCGTCAAAGAACGGGCGATATTCTTTTCGGAAAAATAATTTCTATTGGAATGAGGAATAATATCTATTGGTGGAATAATCAAATCGAAAATTGAGAGAGATGTCAACCACAAAATTTCAAGTCCAATAAACCATCCGTAAGGGACGATTAATTGACCCACGAGAAAGCGGAGTTGACAGGAATCAGCCGCAGAATCCTGAGGTCGACAGACCGTCCCCAATGGGCCAGTTAGTTGTCCTCGAAAACAGCGGGGTTGATAGTTGACCTAGAAGAACGGGGACTTACCTCACCAGAATCGCATCGGGTCATCCCGACGCCAGTCCAGCCAGTCAGCCACGACTCTCCCTAGTCAACTTGTATCAGCCGCAGGCTCGCGGAATTGATCCACAAACGAGCGGGGTTGATAGGATGGGATAGGATGGGAATTAATTCTCAAAAGTGAGAAGGGTTGTCACTTATGAGAAACGAATGGGAACAATTTAATTCAAATTGCATTCAAAGTTCGCGACCGAGCCCGCAATCAGTACAATGCACCGTCGAAATCGTAACGAATTTATGAATTTAAGCAACAAGAAAAAAATATATTTTCTTAATCTGGAATTGTGGCTTGAAAATCTTCCTGATAAAATTTACAATGAATTTAAGTTGGAAGTAAGTTGCACGAAAAATTGTCAACCATAAAAAAAAATGTTATTGTTCGAAAATTTGCAAAGTGCAAGAGGACAGATCACGAAAAATTCTAAATCCAAGAAGACAGATCACGAAAAATTTCTATGTCCAAGACGACAGAACACAAAAAAATTCTAAGTCCAAGAGGACAGAACACCGAAAAATTCTAAGTTCACAATTCTCGATTTTTTACTAAGTCCGAACTGGTTACTCTTAATATAATTCACGGAGCTCTTCTGAGCTTATGACCGGCGGTTCCGAGCGTTGACGTTGAACTGACTGTCTGCTCTGGCATCGGGAGATACATAGACTGAAAAGTCGTAGCGCACGGAGTGTCTCTGGCGCGCATGGGTGGGGGTACTGCGTTGAACGTGCAGACTTGCTGCCTAATAGTGAGGTTCACGCGTCGTGTTTCGCCCTATGTATTAGGTATGGCACATAGCTAATACTGTGGCACCCATTATGCCTGTGCGAATTCAAATTTTAACATTTAACGCATTGTAAAATTATTTATGCTATTTTTCGTAATAAAATAATTGTTTTTCGAACAAATTTTGTGTTTGATTGTCACCATGGCTCAAATGTTTCCTTACTGTATCCTTGTGGTATTATGATTGTTCACTTTTGTGTATTGATTTTGGTTTTTGAGTTTTTTGCAAAACTCATTTTTGAGTCTATTTTTGTGCTAGTAACATGATTCTGATGATAAAAGCATTTTTTCGAATTTTTATAACATTTCAATTGTTAATAACAATGTTAATTGTTAACTTAGGCGAATGCCTCCTACCGTGTCTGAGAGACCTTGATTTACGATAGTTTGACACGAAATTTCAGACTTTTATCTCTGCAATCTTTGGAAATATTCACAATTATATATTTGACCTTGAAAAACTGTCTATTAGCTCTTGACGGCATGTTTTCTAGTGTTAAAAATTAAAATTACGGCTGGTTGTATCGAGAATTTGGTCAACTATTTTTTGGAGTTTTTTGTTTTTGAATTTGTATGTTTGTTTACAAGTTATTAGCAACTAAATGTTGAACGTATTTAGTGACTCAATAGTAGACATTTTTTTATTCTAACTTTTTCCATTTTTTTCTTCATATTTCTGTCTTCTGCACCAAACTCAATTTATTTCATATTTTTCGTGAATTTTCCATCGTAATTTTATTGACACATAGCAATGTTGTCTTTTGACTTTTTAAATATTTTTTGTGATAACTTTGTGGCTCTTGATTTATAGAACATTTTTGTCCTCAAACTTTTCCCGATATTTTCCATCGGAAGGTGTGCAACAATTCCGAAAGTTTGATCAATCACACGGATATACACTTTGAGTGTGTGTGTAAGTTTTTAGAAAATTGGTATCTTTTTTGGTTGTGGATACTAAGAAACAATTCCAATTGTTCTAGATTATGAATTGTAATGATTTTTTCTCTATGGCCTCAGCGAATACTCGAAACCCTAACCCAATTCTATCGATATCCGAAAACACGGCCAAAACCATTACCTTCGTTC